AAAGTCGGACGCTTAACCGACTAAGCCACCCAGGCACCCCTATATTTCCAATTCTTTTTTTTATTATTTTTTTTTAATATTTTTTATTTATTTCTAGGAGAGAGAGAGAGAGACAGTGTGAGCAGGGGAGGGTCAGAGAGAGAGGGAGTCACAGACTGAAACAGGCTCCAGGCTCTGAGCTGGCAGTCAGCACAGAGCCCGACGCGGGGCCCGAACCCACGAACCGCGAGATCATGACCTGAGCGAAAGTCGGACGCTTAACCGACTAAGCCACCCAGGCACCCCTATATTTCCAGTTCTTAAACTTGGTGTCAGCCTGTAAAGCTGTAGATCTATGAACCTGATCTAATCTATGTAACTCCTAGTTTCCCACTAGTAGTAGGAATGCAGACATTGTACTCTTTCCCTGCTAGTTTCTGGCATTCTATTTGAAGACCATTAAGAATAATCTTTTATGGAGCGCCAGGGTGGCCCAGTCGGTTAAGCGTCCGACTTTGGCTCAAGGCATGATCTCACGGTTCATGGGTTTGAGCCCCGTGTCGGGCTTTGTGCTGACAGCCAGCTCAGAGCCAGGAGCCTGTTTCATATTCTGTATCCCCCCTCTCTCTGACCCTCCCCTGCTCACGCACACTCTCTCTCGCTGTCTCTCTCTCTCTCTCTCACACATAAATAAAACAGTAAAATAAAAAGAATAATCTTTTATTAGAGATCACGACTAACACTGCAGAAATACAAACAATAATAAGGGAATATTATGAGCAGTTATATGCCAGTAAGTTGGGCAATCTGGAAGAAATGGAAAAATTCCTAGAAACATATAAACTACCCAAACTGAAACAGGAAGAAACAGAAAAATTGAACAGACCCATAACCAGTAAAGAAATTGAAATAGTAATCAAAAATCTCCCAAAATACAAGAGTCCAGGGCCAGATGGCTTTCCAGAGGAATTCTACCAAACATTTAAAGAAGAGTTAGCACCTATTCTTTTGAAGCTGTTCCAGAAAATAGAAATGGAAAGAAAACTTCCAAACTCATTCTATGGGGCCAGCATTACCTTGATTCCAAAACCAAAGACCCCACTAAAAAGGAGAACTATAGACCAATTTCCCTGAAGAACATGGATGCAAAAATTCACAACAAGATACTAGCCAATGAGATCCAACAATACATTAAAAGAATTATTCACCATGATCAAGTGGGATTTATGCCTGAGATGCAGGGGTGGTTCAATATCTACAAATTAATCCGTATGATACATCACATTATTAAAGAAAGGACAATGGGGTACCTGGGTGGCTCAGTCAGTTAAGCACCCGACTTCAGCTCAGGTTATGTTCTCACTGCTCATGATTTCGAGCCCCGCATCGGCCTCTGTGCTGACAGCTCAGCCAGGAGCCTGCTTCAGATTCTGAGTCTCCTTCTCTCTCTGCCCCTCCCCTGTTCACACTCTGTCTCTCTCAAAAATAAATATTTTAAAATTTTTTTTGAAAAAGAAAGGATAAGAACCGCATGATCTTCTCAATAAATGCAGAGAAAGCATTTGACAAAATATAGTATCCTTTCTTGATAAAAACCGTCAAGAAAGTATGGATAGAAGGATCATACCTCAAGATCATAAAAGCCATATACAAAAGACCCGCTGTTAATATCATCCTCAGTGGGGAAAAACTGAGAGCTTTCCCCCTAAGGTCAGGAACAGGACAGGGATGCCCACTCTCACCACTGTTATTCAACATAGTACTGAAAGTCCTAGCCTCGTCAACCAGATAACACAAAGAAATAAAAGGTATCTATATCAGCAAGGAGGAAGTCACTCGCTCACTGTTTGCTGATGACATGGTACTCTATATGGAAAACCCAAAAGATTGCACCAAAAAACTGCCCTACCAGATCCATGAATTCGGCAAAGTCGCAGGGTATAAAATCAATGCACAGAAATTGGTTACATTTCAATATGCCAATAATGAAGCAGAAAAAGAGAAATCAAGGAATCGATCCCATTTACAGTTGCACCAAAAGATATAAAATACCTAGGAATAAACCTAACCAAAGAGATGAAAAATCTATATACTGAAAACTATAGAAAGCTTATGAAAAAAATTAAAGACATAAGTATTGGAAAAATATTCCATGCTCATGGATTAGAGGAACAAAATACTGTTAAAAATGTCATTGCTACCCAAAGCAATCTACATATTCAATGCAATCCCTATCAAAATAACACCAGCATTCTTCACAGAGATAGAACAAACAATCCTAAAATTTGTATGGAACCAGAAAAGACCCCAAATATCTAAAACAATCCTGAAAAAGAAAACCAAAGCTGGAGGCTTCATAAATCTGAACTTCAAGCTGTATTACAAAGCTGTAATCATCAAGCATTATGGAATGGCACAAAAACAGACCCTTAGATCAGGGAACAGAATAGAGAACCCAGAAATGGACCCACAAACATATGGCCAACAAATCTTTCACAAAGCAGGAAAGAATATCCAGTGGAATAAAGAGTCTCTTAGGGTGCCTGGGTGGCTCAGTCGGTTAAGCGTCTGACTTCGGCTCAGGTCATGTTCTCACTGCTCGTGGGTTCAAGCTCCACGTCAGGCTCTGTGCTGATAGCTCAGAGCCTGGAGCCTGCCTCAGATTCTGTGTCTCCCTCTCTCTCTCTGCCCCTCCCCACTTGCACTCTGTCTCTCTCAAAAATGAATAAATGTTAAAAAAAAAATTAAGAAAAAAGAGTCTCTTTAGCAAATGGTGTTGGGAAAACTGAACAGCGACATGCAGAAGAGTGAACCTGGACCACTTTCTCACAGCGTACACAAAAATAAATTCAAAATGGATGAAAGATTTAAATGCAAGACAAGAAGTCATCAAAATCCTAGAGGAGAAAGCAGGCAAAAACCTCTGACCTCGGCTGCAGCAACTTTTTACTCAACATGTCTCCAGAGGCAAGGGAAACAAAAGCAAAAATGAACTATTGGGATCTCATTAAGATAAAAACTTCTGCACGGTGAAGGAAACAATCAACAAAACTAAAAGGCAACTGACAGAATGGGAGAAGATATTTGCAAATGACATATTAGATAAAGGGTTAGTATCCAAAATCTATAAAAAACTTATCAAACTCAACACCCAAAAAAGAATCCAGTGAAGAAATGGGCAGAAGACATGAATAGACACTTTCCCAAAGAAGATATCAGATGGCTAACAGACACATGAATAATTCCTCAACATCACTCATCATCAGGGAAATACAAATCAAAACCACAAGGAGATAACACCTCACACCAGTCAGAATGGCTAAATTTAACAACTCAGGCAACGACAGATGTTTGTGAGGATGTGGAGAAAGAGGAACATTTTTGCACTGCTGATGAGAATGCAAACTGGTGCAGGTACTCTGGAAAACAGTATGGAGTTTTAATCCTTAAATCCTTAAAAAATTAAAAATAGAACTACCCCATGACCCAACAATTGCACTACTAGGCATTTATCCAAAGGATACAGGTGTGCTGTTTCAAAGGGGCACAGTCACCCCAATGTTTATAGCAGTGCTATTCACAATAGCCAATGTATGCAAAGAACCCAAATGTCCATCGACAGATGGATAGATAAAGATGTGGTACATATATACAATGGAGTGTTAGCAGTCAAAAAGAATGAAGCCTCATAGCTCAGTTGGTTAAGCATCCAACTTCAGCTCACGTCATGATCTCAGGGTTCGTGGGTTTGGGTCCTAGGTCAGGCTCTGCACTAACAACTTTTTGGAACCTGGAGCCTGCTTCAGATTCTCTGTCTCTCTCAAAAATAAATAAACATTTTTAAAAAAATGAAGTCATACCATTTGAAACAACGTGGATGGAACTAGAGTGTATTATATTAAGTGAAGTTAGAGAAAGATAAATATATGACTTCACTCATGGAATTCAAGATACAAATTAAGATGAACATAAGGGAAGGAAAGCATTAATAATATAAAAACGGGGGGACAAAATACAAAAACTCTTAAATATAGAGAACAAACTGGGGGTTGCTGGAGGGAATTTGGGTGGGGGAATGGGCTAAATGGCTAAGGGGCATTAAGGAGGACACTTGCTGGGATGAGCACTGAGTGTTATATGTAGGGGATGAATCACTGGATTCTTCTCCTGTAATCATTATTGCACTATGTGCTAACCAACTGGGATGTAAATTTATATGTATATACATACACACACACACACACACACACACAAACATATAAAGAATAATCCTTTATTCTTTTATTGTGAAACATCTATTCCAGTCATAGTAACAGAATATTTTTTGTTTCATTTCAAAGTAGTTAAGGTGTCTCTCCCCTGTGAGTATTGTATAGTAAGATACTATCTAAAGTGGATGGCAGTCAGCTAGCTTTATCTCACCCCTGTTCACAAATTACTGAAACAGAAAAAATGACCTACATTAATGTACATAGCTGACCTCAGGGAGAATTATATCCTAAAGCATATGTACAGACATGCATTTTAAAGGTTGTACTCTAGGGGCCCCTGGACAGCTCAGTTGGTTGAGTGTCCCACTCTTGATTTCAGCTCAAGTCATGATCCCAGGGCAGTGGGATCAAGCCCCATGTTGGGCTCTGTGCTGAGTGCTCAGAACCTACTTAGGATTCTCTCTCTTCTCTAAAATAAAAATAAAAAAATAAATACTACAGTGTAAAATACTTTTTTAACATTTAGTGAAGTTTTATTTTGTTAGGGGTAAAATTGTCATCTTGATAACTTTATGATTTTCTTTTCTTAAGGTAACCACGCTTGCCCTGTTACAGTTTGACAAACAGATTCCCCGGCCTCCTTTTTTTGAAGTCCTTGTCCCATGCTTCAACTTAGGAATGATTTTTTTTTTTAATTTCAGACAAATCTGCCTATTTTCAAGCTGAAGGAATCTACTGTTAGAAGAAGATACAGTGACTTTGAGTGGCTGCGAAGTGAATTAGAAAGAGAGAGCAAGGTAAGAATTATTTGTAATGAGATTTTAAAGCAAAACACTCTGACTTTTAATGTTAAGGACTTTTCAAAAAACTTACCTAGAATGATGTAAAAGCAAATACAATTTTTTTTCAAGGGAAAAAATCTTACTTTATGGGAGATGGAGGAAGGAAAGGAAAATTTTTGCTCAGAACTCTTTTTTGTCTACTTAAATGGCCCAGTTGAGGCCTTTACTGACTCATACTTGGATAACAGTTACTTCTTAGAACTTTTTTGCTATTACTTACTTCCTTTCCCTCATCTTCCTATTCAGTCTTGCCCTCCCAAACACTCCTTGCCAAGTTTCTCTTCTTTAATATGTCTCCTATATCACTGTAATTCCAGGGGTTCTTTTTGTTTTTTTTTTCTTTTACTGACTCATAATATTTTTTTCAGTATCACACATATATATATAACAAAACTTCCATAAACCAGTACTTACCTTACTCTGATATGTCCTGATATTTTTCAGCTTAGCTTTTTAAATGATGGTCATGGTTTAATAGGTTGCTACGTGCAAATTTTTTTAAGTTTATTTATTTGAGAGAGAGAGCAGGGGAGGGGCAGAGAGAGATGGGGGCAGAGAGAGAATCCCAAACAGGCTCTGCACTGTCGGCGTGGAGCCCAATGCAGGGCTCAAACCTATGAACTGTGAGATCATGACCTGAACCAAAATCAGGAGTTGGTTGCTGACGAGCCACTCAGGTGCCCCAATACATGCAAGTTTAAAACTGTTACATAAAATCGTCTTCTCTTGAAAGAAAACTTGGTGGCTTTGGCTGCAAAAGACCTTCAGCAAGGCAAGGTCTCTTTCTTGTCCCTTATTTCAGCCCTGTGTCAGAAGAAGATCAAAGACATGGAATCCTGGAAGGGCATGGTGTGCTCAGATGAAAAGTTACTTAATGACTTTCCAGTAGGAAAAAGTTGATACGGTAGGCGCCCAGAATTAGGGTCGGGCTAGCTTCTACTCAATTCTGAAGTGTGATAAGTTGAAGTGGAAGGAAAGCTTCTTAACCAGATACCTGTGGCTAGATACAAGAGCAATATACACAAATTCCCACATTCCATCGAAATGTAAAGGAAAAACAATTTTACTCAACAGGCTATCAAAGTATAGGGACACCTGGGTGACTTGGTTGGTTGAGTATCTGATTCTTGATTTTAGCTCAGGTCATGATCTCACAGTTCATGGTTTTGAGTTGCTCTCTCGCTCTCAAAATAAATAACAATTTTCTTAAAAAGACTATCAAAGCATAAAATGTTTATGAGTAAAATAAAAAAGAAAATATAAGACCCATGTAAAGAAAACTTCAAAACTTCACTGAAAGACAAAAACAGAACTTAATAGAAATACTGCATTCTTGTTTTGGAGTATTCACTTTTGAAGATTCATTTACTATATAAACATTTGAGAGCTCATTCTGTATGCGCAATGAGTTATAGATAAAGCCGTGAATATATTAAGTCCCCACTTCTATGATGCTTACATTCAGTTGGGGAAGTTGGGGTGGTGGTGAAGGGAAAGCAGAAAAAATAGTAAGATACATAGTATGTCTGAGAGTGATATGTTGTAAAAAACAAAACAACAGGAAGTAGGGAGTTCCAGGAGAGTACTCTTTCATAGAGTGGTCAAAGGAAGGCTTCACATAGAGGTGACATTTTAGCAGTAAAGCTGATCAAAGTAAAGCATTATCTTCTAACTTATTTACAAATTCATGAAATTCTAATAGAAATCTTGACTTTTTTAATGAACTTACAGAGCTTTTTATATGAGCTTTACAGTGAAAGGAAGCTCAAGAAGAGTAAAATTATTTTCAGCATGTACTGAGTATGTGCAGACATCAGAGATTTTTTTAAGCTATAGTAATTAAAACAGTTTGCTATTGCTTTAGGAACAGGCAAATAGATTAGCTGAATGTAGTAGAACTTAGAATGTATAGATCTTAGCAGCTGACTTGCATGTTCATTAGAAATTTAGTTCAGAACAAAAATAACATTGTCAATCAGTAGGGAAAAGAATTTATATTCAGTAAATCGGGTTGAAACATTTGACTGTCTAGGAATAAAAATTTATAACTCGCTGTGTATAAAATGGATGGTTTTAAGATCTAAATGTACAAAACAAGTTAGGAAAGTTATGGGTAACAAAGATGACATTTTTTATGACCATAGGGAAGAAGTATCCTTTTTCCTCAGCTTTAAAATTGAGATATAATTGACAACATTATGTAAGTTTATGTTTTACGTATATATTGTAAAATGATGAACTCAATAAGCTTAGTTAATATACCATCACCTCACATAGTTATTATTAATTATTTTTGGTGGTAGTGGTGGTTGGTAAGAACATTTGAGATCTACTCTCTCAGCAACTTTTAAGTATATGATACAGTATTGTTAACTATACTCCCCATGCTTTACATTAAGTCCCCAGAACTTACTCATCCTATAACTGGAAGTTTGTACCCTTTGACCAGCATGTCACCATTTCTCCCATCTCCCAATCCCTGGCAACCACTAGTCTCTGCTACTCTTTGTTGCTAGGAGTTTGATTTTTTTTTTTTTTTTTTTTAAGATTCTGCCTATAAGTGGGATCATACAGTATTTGTCTTTCTCTGTCTGACTTATGGGAAGAAGTGATAGATTTTGGGCTTTGCTTAACAAAGCACATGGCACATTGGAGTGTTTAATAAACATTTGGTGAATGTATATAGCACCTTTTGAAAAACTAACAGCTTTATTGACATATAATTCACATGCCATAGAGTTCACCCATTTAAAGTATAAAATTTAGGGGCATCTGGGTGGCTCAGTTGGTTAAGAATCTGACTCTTGATTTCAGCTCAGTGAGATCAAGCCCCAAGTCAGGTTCTGTGCTGATATCATGGAGCATGCTTGGGACTTTCTCTCCTCTCTCTGTGTCTTACATACACATTCTCTCTCTCAAAATAAATAAATAGAAATAAACTTTAAAGGGTAAATTCAGTGGTTCTTAGCATATTCACAAAGTTGTGCAGTGATCACTAGTCAGTTTTAGAACATCTTAGTCACTCCATAAAAGAAATCCCATATCCATTAGTAGTCCCTACCAATTTTTCCTCCAACCCTACACAGCCACTAACCTATTTTCTTTATGGATTTCCTTGTTCTCATATAAATAGGAGCAGAGAATATGTAGTCTTTTGGGTCTGGCTTTTTTCACTGAAGGTGTTTTCAACATTAAACACTAGTTCTTTCTTTCCTAATTAATTTATTTTTATTGCCAAATAATATTCTGTTGTGTTGATATACCACACTTTATCTGTCCATTCATCAGTTGGTAGACCTTTGGTTATTTCTGCTTTTTGACTATCATAGATAATGCTGTTGTGAACATTTGTGTACAGGTTTTTTTGTTAGGACATATATTTTCTTTTCTCTTGAGTATATACCTAGGAGTGTATTTACTGGGTCCTGTGACAACTCTGTTTAACTTTGAGGAAGTCCCAGACTGTTTTCCAAAGCAGCTACACCATTTTATATTCCCACCAACAGTGTATGAGAGTTCCACTTTTCTCCACATCCCCCCCAACACTTAATTATTATCTGTCTTCTTTATTATAGCTGCCCTAGAATGTGTGAAGTTGGAATACCATTGTGGTTCTGATTTTCATTTCCCCAGTGGCTGATGATGTTGATCATCCCTCCATGTATTTATCAGTTATTTACATATCGTATGTGGAGAAATCTTTTTTTTTTCCATATCCTTTGCCCATTGAGTGTTTCATCTTTTTATTATTGAGATGTACCTAAAATATGTAAAAAAAAAAACTCTTAAAAGTCTCTTATGAGATATTTAATTTGCAAAAATCTCTTTATCTATGAATTGTTTCCACTTATTATTGTCCTTTGAAGCACAATACTTCACTTCTAACAATAGACCAGTTAAATATCTGAGGGATTTGACCTATGTGAAAGTGGTACTTTTATTACAGTATTGCTAAGAACAATCAATCAAGTTATTTTGTTTATAAGTATCTTTTTTTAATTAAAAACATTTTTTTAATTTTTATTTTTGAGAGAGGGAGAGAGACAGAGGCTGAGTGGGAGAGGCACAGAAAGGGAGACACAGAATTGGAAGCAAGCTCCAGGCTCTGAGCTGTCAGCACAGAGCCCAGTGTGGGGCTCAAACTCATGAATTGTGAGCCACAGTCGGATGCTTAACTGACTGAGTCACATAGGCACCCCTGTTTACAGGTACTTTTAACTAAGATCTGTTATATGAGATAAGAAAGTAGATGATTTTTATTGTGTCTACTGGTCATTTTGATGCTGTCTTTAGCTTTTATTTTAGTATGTTTTCACTATATTATGCTGGCCAAGTATTTTCCTATCTACTTCTCACCCCACATGTGTACACATATGTTTGGATGAATGACTGTTAGATTGGTATAAGAATTCTAACTAGATCTTTCCAGACTTGTTCAGCAAAAATAATTGTTGAAGATCTTTGGAATCTTAGCTGGGCATGCCACTCACAATTTTTGTAGGTCATTAATCCTTTTACCTACAACCTAACCATCCATTTCAGTGACTTTTTTGAATATTGTGTTAGGAAGAATATGTCTCTGCAGATAATACATAGTGATCTTAACTTTCATGCTGAATTATGTCCTGAATTAATGGTAGTCATCTGTTTAGTGCATTGGTTCTAGATTCCTTTTTTTAATAGTAGTTTCATAGATAAAGATGTTTTTTCCTGCCCTTCAGAAAAACTACTCTGTTGGAACTCAGTTAATGGTCATGATCTCTTTCTCAGTTGTTAGGTCCCTGCAGGTTTTAACATTCAACTTCACAAATATTAGTGTAGAGAGAGAGATTCAAGAATACTAAGGCAGAGTTACAGAGATACATCTTTAGATGCCCTAATCATTGGTCCTGGGGAGAAGTGTAGATCTAGGAAGGAATCATGACTTTTATATTGGGTATTTGGTTTTGTGTTTCTTTTTTGCTCTTTGCTATTCATTTTCTTCTTTGCTGTTCTTTATGAAGTTGTGTTGCTCTTTCCCTTTTTTTTTTTTTTTTTACCCAGCTGGATTATTGTTTTAGGATAGAAACTGCATCAGGGGTTTAAGGTTTTACCTCTTTTAAAGAGTACGTATAATTACTTCTGTTTACTATTTATATTTCTTCTTGATTTGTTTGCTTACACCTTTTCTCTATTTTGGTGTAAGATACGGATCCAGCGAAGTGGTTAGTCATTTAACAGATATTTAAGCTTCTGTTGTGTTGTGTGCCCAGCTTTTCTTAAAATAACCATAGGGAGCCTGAGATAGTATCCTTGATTTCAAGGCATTAATAGGGTAAGTTGGTGGGTTTTCGACCAGCGCCTCTGTTTTATCCCCCAGGACACATTTGACAGGGTCTGGAGACAGTTTTTATTGTCACAACTGAGAGTGCTACCCAGTCTAGTGGGTGGAGTCCTGGTTTGCTGTTAAATTTCTGCAGTGCACCAAGAAACTCCTTCCCCTACCCTCCCCACCACTACAAAAAACAATGTGATTCAAAATGTTAATTGTGCTGTGGGTGAGAACCCCTAAGACAGAGAAACCAAACTAACCTGTGAAATAAATAGCTAGGTGCTATTTAGGTCAGATATTTGAGCTCTAGATAATTCCTAGAAGAGAGAGATCAGTTTAAGTTGACCGTACAGGATAGTTAGACTTTGAAGGGGAACAATAGGATGTTCGTATTTAGGAAAGAAATGACAGGTCTTTGGGGAAGGATGGGGTAGTGGATTTGGGAGAAAGTTGACATGTTTCTTAGCCTAGAAAATGGAAGTGTGGTGGGGTACGTGGGTGGCTTAGTCAAGCATCCAGCCTTCGATTTCAGCTCAAGTAATGATCTCATGCTTCAGGAGATCAAGCCCTGTTTCGGGCTCTTTGCTGACAGTGTGGAGCCTGCTTAGGATTCTCTCTCCCTCTCTCTCTCTCTCTCAGGATTCTCTCTCCCTCTCTCTCTCTGTCCCTCCCTTTGGTCACATGTATGCTCTTTTTCTCTCAAATAAACATTTTTACAAAAAGAAAAAGAAAGTGGAAGCGTGGTGACAGAATTGTTGATTTTTTTTTTTTTATCAGCACCTCAAATACAAGTAGGAAAGACTTCATGAAGATGGTATGAGGTAGAGGAAATAGGCCACAGAATTCTTATCTGCCCATGCTGGAAAGAATGTTGTTACTATTTCATTTCTTCATTTATTTAAGAAAGTTGATTTTGATCTCTGTAGTTTTTCATTGTAATAAAGCATGGTCTTCCTAAGTGGCATCAAAACTGGAGGCATCGTAGCCTTTATTTCATGATTCCTCGAATGTTCTCTTTGTATACTTGTGCTTCAAGAAGTTCAGGAAAAACTTAAGCTATGGGCCATGCCATTAAGGAGCATTGATCTATGTCTATGTCTATTCTGTCTACCTTAGGTTATCTTGCCTCCAAAACATTGACTCTTTTTTAATGTGTTTTTTTTTTTCAGTGTGTTTTTTACTGATTTTCTATTTAAAGAAAATCACTCATTTAACTGCAGAATAGCCATCACAGTGAACATATACTTTGTCTTCATGTTGTGCTCTATAAATTTTCACAACCCAGTCAAGCATCTTCAAGAACTTTCTTTCCTGTGTTCTTTTAGGTTGTAGTTCCCCCACTCCCTGGAAAAGCATTTTTGCGTCAGCTTCCTTTCAGAGGAGATGATGGAATATTTGATGACAATTTTATTGAAGAAAGGAAGCAAGGGCTGGAGCAGTTTATAAACAAGTAAGTACTTTCTGTCCTTCAAGGGGTATAAGAGCAAATAGTGTTCTGAGACAACTTTAGGCGAATACTCATAATTTAGATATTAAGCTAAGCTGTAGTACTGCTTTTCTTTTTGGCCATTTCCTGACTAACTTTTTGTATCATTTAAATAAAGTAAAAGTGTATAACAAGTTGAGTATCATGTGATAAATATTAACACACTTGAGTGATTAAAATGAGTATCTTTGTGTTGACCTAAGTTTTATATTTGTTTTTCTTGGTTAATTTATGCAAATTACATTTAAAATTGCAGCATTTAAAAAATAGTTTTACTTATGATTCTTTCTCATTTAAGGTATGTTCTAGCATGAACAATAAAACTTGCAGTACACTTGCAATCATTTTGTTTGATTGCAGATGGAGATATTATCAGCATGTCTTGTGTAAAGGTGCACATTTAAAATTTTCATGGCAAAATGTTTCTTTTCAAAATGTAAGAAGACTTACAATTGTTTATCTTTTACTTTAGAAACTCTTTCTAGCTTTTAATTTTATTCTTTATTTGAAATATAGCCATTTTTAAAAGCCAGAGTAACAAAGTTAATGTCAGGAAGGGGCTTACTATAAATTGTGCATTGGCCTTCAATTTGACCAAATAAAGTCAAATGCTGGAGGGAGAATATGGTTGTATGAGGTTACATGTTAGCCAACAACTTCAATTTTTATCTAGTAATTTGAAGATCTGTGGGTGGTAAACAGGAGGGAAAGGTGTACAAAGCCTTTAACATTTAGTTTAGCACATAACCTTCATTGCCTTTTATGAACATGCTTTCCTTTGGAGAAGGCACTGCTAGGTGAGGTATTTTTTAATTCAGAAATGAAAGTCTGGGGGTGCCTGGGTGGTTCAGTCGGTTAGGCGTCCGACTTCAGCTCAGGTCATGATCTCACGGTTCATGGGTTCGAGCCCCATGTTGGGCTCTGTGCTGACAGCTCAGAGCCTGGAGTCTGCTTCAGATTATGTATCTCCCTTTCTCTCTGACCCTCCCCTGCTCACTCTCAAAAATAAGTTAAAAATAAGAGGAGAAAAAAAAAGAAATGTAAGTCTGGTTACCCATTTTGATCTTGTGTTTAGCCTGCAATGGAAACCTTTAAAGCAGGCCAAAAAAAAGGAAAACCTGTGGACACGTGCCTCTTTTCAGTGTTTTGAGCTTTTATTTAACTTGAGTGTATTTTTTTAATGTCAGTGTATTTCTAATTTTGATCCTGTATCTTTTCCTTCTTTAAAATGAGTTCTTAGAATTAATGACATGCTTCACTTTTAACATTGAAATTCATTTAGGTTTTTTTTGTGAATGTACGCACTGCTATAGAAAGAAGTTTATTGGGCACAAGTGCCATAAGCAGTGCCAGTATGGTGAATAAATGTTTTCTAAATGACCCTGTCAACCAAAGGAAAGGAAATTTCCCATTAATTGATAGAGCATAGCCTAATGAGCAGTCCACTTATTGGTAAATCATACATGCTTTCTAACTATAAAATATATGAGTGACTCCTGACCCACTTTTATAAAATATTGGGACTAAATTTGTTATTTTTACTCCTAGGGTCGCTGGTCATCCTCTGGCACAGAATGAACGTTGTCTTCACATGTTTTTACAGGATGAAATTATAGACAAAAGCTATACTCCATCTAAAATAAGACATGCCTGAAATTTGGTGAGAAGGGGCAAAAAAAAAAAAACTTTCCGTGACGATTAATGATCCATATGCACCAGTGGAGAAGTTCTATCTAACTTTTAGCATGCTGCACAGAAACTGGTAGAACATGCCTTCAGTATACTAACATTCATATGCTCAGTTGTGTTTTGTTTTGTTTGGCAGTTGACAAGAAGTTAATTTGCTTTAGTGAAAAATTCCTCGTTCCAGCTTTTCTAGCTCTTCCTTGCTGTTTTAATGTGGTTCACGCTATAGCCCCACAAACCCGTTATCCAGTATAATCTGCAGTGTCCTAACTAAAGTTACTGACTTGGTCTTATCTGCACAGTTTTTGTGTCCTGTTTGCTTTCTGAATCTGATTAACTAGAATATTTCTCTTACCCCTTTTTCATATGTGATGTCACTTGACCTAATTTATGTGTAGAAGCACTACACCATTGGTTTCCAGTCCCCTACGTGTGAGATACACACGCGTGTGCAGAAATTATCTCCCTTCAGGCTTGTAAGACCCTTCACATGGAAGATCAATGAGGGAAATCTTTATATTCTGTATAAAAACAAAATCCAATTTATATACTAAAATCATTTGTCTAAAAATTTAAGTTGTTTTCAAATAAAAATAAAAATGCATTTCTGATATGCACTGATTGTGTTGCCTTCAGCTTCTTTTTTCCCCCCTTTATGGCTGTCCTACTTAACTTACTTGTTGAGAGGGATTATTTACTAATTATATACTTCTCATTCCTGTAACTCCATTCCTCTTAAACAGTGGTGATATCAAATATGCTACCACCCTTTGAATTGGGGTATTTTCTTTTATACAACAAAAAAGTGATGTACTAAAAGAAGCATTCCTTAAAGCTTACTGAGTTGTTATGAAGCACTTTGTGTATTTGAAAAATGCTTTGTATTCTCAAGTCATTCTCGAAAGGCCTTTTAAGAGAAGTCAGCACTGTGCCTCCTATTTTGCAGAGGAATTTTTTTCCTAGTTCACCTAAGTGACTTGTTTTAACAACCTTAGCAAGGGTATAATAACCCTTTTCTTGATCAGCAGATTCATGCTTTCTCTTTAATTTGGCTCAGGATGGTGGCACGCTTTATCCTCTTCAACGGAGGGAGAAGAGCACAGCATTCTAGCCTGACGTGTATAAGTGATAAGAAACCAGAAAATGTGGGACTCCTTGCTGTCTAACTTGTGTTGTAGCCAGAATGTGGTCTCTGATTCGAATGTATACAACACCTGGTGGTTGTGGGGGGGCCTGTTGTGACCTAGTGTTAAACCACAAGGTAAGGAGAGGTTGCCCCCCTCCAGGGGCATCTCCTCTAGAGACAGGTCCGTCCATGTGAGAGGAAACCAGCTTTGGCCTCAGCCAGACTAGCATGTCCACCTAGCAGGTTAGAAGTCCTAGGAATTAGAGCAGCCCTGTATGACCTTTCACTCCCTAAAATTTCACAATTCCATAAACTGGAGATTTCGGTTACTATAAATTAAGAAGATACAAAATGAACCAACATGTGAACTTTATTTCAGGGAGCTAGGGAAGTAAAAGCAAAGGCTGTCAGTTTTTGGTATGCAGAACAGTGATGGTGGCTCTGAATCAGTTCCTCTCAAGCAGTGGTTTTCAAGCAGGGATGGGTTTGCCCCCGGGGCACATTTGGCAATATCTTGAGACATTTTTGGTTGTCAGAACTGCGGAATGCAACTGGAATCTAGTGGGCAGAAGTTAGACATGCTGCTAAACCTCCCACAGTGCACAGGACTGCCTGCTACAACAGAAAAACCTCAGTAGTGCAGACGTTTCCACTCACTGGAATTCTTTTGATTTTGATCATTTATAGACAAGGAATAATGTGGCTTAGGATGGGTTGTACTGGCATACTTACTTATTTTTTCTTAATGTTTGTTTTTCAGAGAGAGAGACAGACAAAGCACAAGTGGAGGAGGGACAAAGAGGGAGACCCAGAATCCGAAATAGGCTCCAGGCTCTGAGTTGTAAGCACAGAGCCTGACACAGGGGTTGAACTCACAAACAGTGAGATCCTGACCTGAGCTGAAGTCGGATGCTTAACTGATTGCGCCACCCAGGTGCCCCTGGCCTTCTTTTAACCTCTACAATTGGATTAGGACTGGTATGCCCTTAGAAAGTTGAAGGTTTTGGGGTGCCTGGGTGGCTCAGTCCGCCAAGCACCCGACTTCAGCTCAGGACATGATCTCGTGGTTTGAGCCCCACTTCAGACTCGCTGCTGTTAACACAAAGCCTGTTTCTGATCCTCTGTCCCCCTTTCGCTCTCTGCCCCTCTCCCGCTTTCTTGCTCGCTCTCAAAAATAAATAAGAAAAAAAAAAGTTGAAGTTTTCATTAGGTGAAATGTTGCTTCTTTCAGGTGAAATGTTTTTGCCTAATGTGGGAAGGCACTTCTCACTATTGTCTCTTAGAGCCTTAAAACCATGGTCCATATTAAAAGGACACCTTTAATCCTGCGAAGTAAAAATGCAGTTGCTATTTAAATGTATAGGAGGTGGTTCTGGAAGCCCTTAAGGGTCTTCTAAAAGTAGAAGTTAATTTCACAGTGAGTCATGTTACAAGAGTCTCAGGCTCTGTGTCCTCTCAGGAAGTAATTGCCTTATCGCAACCGTTAGTTGTAAATAGTGAGCATCAATGATACCATTAGTGACTTACAGTTTTTGAGGACTAAGTGTAAAATCCATAGAACAGCAGTATCTGAGACATGTAAAGACTTAGTTATCCAATGGCAGTGGTAGTTATCCATATATTAGTAGTAGCAGCAGTGGTACCATTACCTAAGGCAGTTCCTAGATAGGCTTATCTGGTATTTGGCTTCCTTCTTGAAGGTTCTGCCATCATGACCCCTGGATGTGATGATGAGCTCTGAAGGGAGGATGCCGGGCAGAGAATGGGGGGGCATATATTTTTATTAAATCCTGTGGCTTTTGAGCTCAGCCCTCTTGCTATGGTCACCTCTATTTTTTTTTTTTAATTTTTTTTTTAACGTTTTATTTATTTCTAGGAGAGAGAGAGAGACAGCGTGAGCAGGGGAGGGTCAGAGAGAGAGGGAGTCACAGACTGAAACAGGCTCCAGGCTCTGAGCTGGCAGCCAGCACAGAGCCCGACGCGGGGCTCGAACCCACGAACCGCGAGATCATGACCTAAGCGAAAGTCGGACGCTTAACCGACTAAGCCACCCAGGCGCCCCGTGCTATGGTCACCTCTAGATTAAAAGTCCTTGTCCTGGGGCACCTGGCTGGCTCAGTGGGTAGAGCATGTGACTCTAGATATCAGGGTTAGGAGTTTGAGCCCCACATTGGGGGTAGAGGTTCCTTAAAGTCTTAAAGTCTTTGTCCTGTTGTTTCAGCTTGCTTCATCTATTTTGGTTAGTGGAGTGAGGATAAATACAGCCAATCAGGGAGGAGGCTGCTGGCCTCTAGGCCTTCACAGTTAAAATTTGACATGTGGCTGGAGTGATAGCGTAGTGCACTGTCTGGCATATAGATAGACTGCTCGCTGAGTGCTAGCTGTGATTATTACAGTGTGCAAGTGTTTGGACTGGAAATGAGCTAGAAACTGCTTTAGGAGGATGGAGAAGTCTTCCTCAACACTTCCTTTGTGACCTGTCACAGAACCCTGTGAACCAAGTGATACTCTCCCTTAGTGATAAGAAGGCTGAGGCCCTGCGAGCTAAGTGACATGCTCACAGTTACCCAGGATGTGATGGCTCTGGATGTAGACTGTATGGATGTCTGACTCTAAAAGCCCCCCTGCATGAGTGCACGTCCTTCTTTGGGACAGGGCCTGTGACCTGGTAACCAGCCCTTACCTGGTGCTCAGTTAATTTAGTGAATGAAGGAAGGGTGAATTTTTAGTAACATTTCCTGTGTCCTCTAGGCTGAACATGAACAAATGAATGGATAGGTTTTGTTTTGTTTTTTAGTTAGATTATTTTAAGTGTGGGTATAAAAAACACTTTTGGACATGAATAGATTGCTGATCAGAAGTGTCTTATTTTTTCTACACTTAGCTGCATGCCATAATTACTCCCTAAGACTGAGTCCAAGAATTTTTTGTAAAGCTTCCTAGATGATTCTGAAACAGCTACGTTTGGACACCTAACTAGAAGGCCCTCTTCCTAGAATTTGGTCAGATTTGATCTTAACTAGCTACTTAAGTCATTACAAAGCAAAGTCAGGAAAATGAAAGACAAATACCATATGATTTCACTCATTATGTGGAATTTGTAAGAAATAAACGAGCAAAGGGGGAAAAAGAAAAGCAAACCAAGAAACAGACTCTTAACTGTAGAGAGCAAACTGATAGTTACCAGAGGGGAGGTGGTGGCGGAATGGGTTAAATAGGTGATGGGGATTAAGGAGGGCACTTGTGATGAGCAATGGGTGTTTTACAGAAGTGTGCAATGACTTCAGGTATTATATACCTGAAACTACTATTATACTGTGTATTAATTGGAATGTATTTTAATTTAAAAAAAATGTTTTTAATGTTTTATTATTGAGACAGCAACAGAGCATGAGTGGGGGAAGAGCAGAGGGAGAGGAAGACACAGAATCCGAAGCAGGCTCCAGGCTCTGAGCTGTCAGCACAGAACCCAACACAGGGCTCGAACTCACAAATGGTGAGACCATGACATGAGCCAAAGTCAGATAGTTAACTGAGCCACCCAGACACCCCTCTTTATTTTTTAATGTTGGGCTCCATACCCAACATGGGGCTTGAACTCAAAACCCTGGAATTTAAATAAAAACTTAAAAAAAGGGAAAGACGAGAGAGTCAGGACTTCTTAGGTCTTGAGAAGTTACTTTTGTAAATCTCCATTTGCAGTAAGTGAAATTTGCATTATTCCAACCTTGCTAAGAAAAGAAGACCTTGATTCAGAGATGACAGTGATTCATTTAAAAGCACAAAAGGAAGTTTAGAAGACGCTGGGTAACATCTCACCAGATGCTTTTTACTATTAGAATGTAAGAATGAAGGCCACAGATGGAAGGGATCCAATAAAGTCAAACAGCAATACTAAATATTTCACATGTACAAAATATTAATATAGGCAAGAGGTTAATCATGGCCCCTTTTCTCAAGAAACTCAGTCTTGTTAGGACATCATCATGAAAAGACTCACTGATAGTATAGCCAGAGAAAAGGTACACCAAATGTGAAGATAAGAAGGGACACAGGAGTTCAGGAGGAGGGAAGGGAATGGCCATTCAGAATGAAGGAGACTTCCGGTTTTGGCTCTGACATGTAAAGAGCTTAAAAGTTGGCACCCTTGTCCTTACAGCAAGTAAA